ACTATCAGAACTGCTGATACGCGCATTTTTCCATTTGCACCTCATCAGCCACTGAGTTCGATGAAATTGAGTGAGTGAAGTTCTAGGAAGAAGGAGGTCAAGGTTGCGGTGCTCATATTTCCCTATGCCCACGGAAGGTCTTCACATAGAGGAGAGACAATCTCGCAACCTTCAGTGCTGGTTTTTTGCATTTTCCAAGTAACGCATATTCAACTACTCTGCTCTGTAAAAACAAACACGACGAGGGAAACTGGCCAAAAAGTATGATCATAAATTAGATGCACATCATCACCTGACGCATGCTCACGGAGAATAAGAGTATACAATATTGCAAATGGTGGGTACTCAAATCTTAAGGAGTTCAGTCATATCATATTTAGCAGTCAGCATTGCTCAGCTAGTCGTGGTCGATTCCTATATCGGTATCACGATTGTCAAGGGTTTTACAGAATCCAAAGACCCTTTTCGTACCATGGTCCATTGCAAAGCAGAATATTCAAGAGACGTTTGCAGCATCTACATATTCATGTAGTTATGAGTAGGGGATTTGGATATAATTAATTGAGGGTTCGTCGTGGTTAGTTCCAAATCAGATAGTCCTCCACTTGCGAGGGAAAGCACTAGACTGCAGTTTCAGCCTGTTGGGCATCATCAGTAGTCCGCATCTATCGGATACATCAGTATTCGAACCCACGACCACCAGCGGCTCGCACCACCAGTCAGCAGCTTATGCCACTGGGCCACGGGGAACAGCTTCAAACCGTCATGATTTGCAAACTAACTGTGCCTTGACAGTTTCTAAATGCCATGTCATACATCGCTGCTGTCAGTAGACGTTGTGTCTTTTGGGGCCAACCTTTTCCTCTGCTACGTTCGTAACTTTCATGACAGTGGAGGATAAGACGCGCTATATCGCAGTTATTTTGCAAATCATGACGGTCTGAAGCTGTCCCCCGAATCCCAGTGGCATAAGCTGCTGACTGGCGGTGCAAGCCGCTGGTGGTCATGGGTACGAATACTGATGAATCCGATAGATGCGGACTACTGATGATGCCCAACAGGCTGAAACTGCAGTCTAGTGCTTTCCCTCGCATGTAGACGACTATCTGATTTGGAACTGGCTGCGACGAACCCTCAGTTAATCTAACTTTTCGTAGACTTTTTGAACCGATGGAAGCGGCTGCAATTTCTAATGTTCGGAATCCATTTATTTTATATCAATGCGTACTCAATTCTCTGATAATTTGAACAACGTTTGGTGCACGTCTGTAGATCATTCTGTCCTGGAAACAGCGTTTACTAGACACGACCCACAAGGTGTGGATCTGCTTCCTGGTGAGCGACTTCTTGGCTTGGGGTATGCTGACGACATTCCCCTAATCTGTAACAGCTCCCAAACGTGCCAAACAGCACTGGCCAGATTAGCGCTTGCTGTCAATCGTTTTAGGTGTTGCTTTGCTCCCTCCGAATATAAAGTCCTCCAATATTGGCAGGGACCGCCTCCTGCGCCGAAACGCTTGACGCGCTTTTGCCAATCTCCGCTACCTGTGACACCAGCATGACATCACATTCGCCATGAAGGGCAGAGTTGACAATGCGACCGTCCGGTCAGCCCTTTTGTACGGTTGCGAAACATGGCCCATCCAGTCAACTGACACAGCATAGCTTATGTCTGATGGGAGCACCGTATGAGTAATGAGCCGTGTTAGGCGTCGTATGTTTGGTGCAGTAAGAGCGAGTGAACCGCTCAGCACCATTATGTCACGCACCAGGTTTCGATGGCTGGGCCATGTGTTGCGCATGCCGGCACACCGACTCCTGTCGTGCGTTGTTTGCGCGCCGGCGATGTGGATAGAGAGAGAGGAGGGGGCCAAGTGATGGTGTGATCAAGAGAAATGAAATCCCTCACTTCGAAATTGGCTTCGGTCGCTGCATCCAGATTGCCAGGCTGTGGTCCGAAGGTATATGAACACGTTTGGTTGGATACACTAGCGAACATGGCGAATAGCCGGCCCCAATGGCGTTTGTGTTGTGAGTTTCTTTGTCCAGTCCCCTCTTCTTTCGATTCCTTTTCCAATTACGGTCTCATGCCAAATGTATAATACGATATTTATCATTATATTATCCGCTTTTTGAACTTTTTGTAGTCTTATTTTTCGTATCTTATCTTTTTGTATTGCGGCACAATAGCTGTGGTGTGTTTCTCACTCTCAGCTAACGTGTATTGATGATGACTGTACTTTATCCTTTCGCGTACTGTCTGGCAATCTGTTGCTTGGGCCTATATTATACTGTGAAACTCAGACCCTATATCAAACATCAAAGTAAGCCCACTTAAGGCTTGATTCTGCGTAAAAATAGTCATTCTAACTTTAACCATAAAGCGTTCATAGCTACAGATAAATTTAGAAGTATTTTCTTAAGAGACCTCTCATAGACGTGCATGCCTCGTTACACATGCTCGCAACTCATGCGTTCTAGCCGGGTGCTCATCCTCGTGAACAAATCCTAATGATCCGAGCTTCTGCATCAGTTTCTACTCCAGTGAAGGCTATGGTTAGAATTTCTGCTGTACTGGGTCACTGAGTATTTCCTTGTTCCATAGCGTTTTATCTAGTTACTTGTTTACCATCATGCCTGTTTGGAAGTGTTTGGGCCTACACTTGGCATGTCTCAGTCACAAGTCACTTTTTAGGTACGCTCACATCTCTGTATCCTACGTTTTACTTTATCCTCACGACGTACGTCCTTTGTTTCCTACACAACTCAAAGACCTTCGTGGTCATCGTTGTGCAGACCCAATCAGTCTTAGTCTGTTTCAGTACCAACACCTCCGTCTCTGCTGTTTCGTACGTAAATTCACTTCATTTGAATAGACACTACCGAAAGTTCTAAGTTTGTGCCGCCCTGTTGAGGCCACGCTATGCGCCTTGTGGGTCTCTATTCACTATAGCCACCACTAATTTGACCGGACACTTGATCATAAATTGTTGCTATTCTTCTTCGGATCAATCCTAACAGCTACGCCGATATTCGGTTTTCTTCACACTTCCCGGTCTACTACTAGGACGTTTTTTAGCATAATCTGGACTCGCAACCCGCAACACTCGTGACGTCTTCGCTAATGCGCCGTGTTTACAATCTTACGTTCGGGCGGTGTTGCTATATGGCGTGAGTCATGTCCAGTTCGCAAAGATGACATGCGCTGGCTCTCGGCCTTCGATAATGAGTGCTTGAGGAGGATTGTTAGTGTGTGCTGGGAACCACGTATGTGCAACAACAAGCTGTTCTTGCTGCGTCAGTTAAGATGGCTCGGTCACGTCCTACGCATGTCAGCTGCGCGTTTTCGCCATCTCGCCCTCTTAACCCGTGCAGGGCGCGGCTGGAAACCACGCGGTGGTCAGCCGTCCACCTGGCGATAGCATATGGAATCGTTGAATTCACCTCTTGTTGCCTACCAGGATGGGAATCAAAGGACGAAGAGTGCTGTTGGCTCGAAACGATTCGGCATGCGGCGCGCGATCGAAACCAGTGGAAGATCTGTGTACATACTTGTTTAGATTCAGATGCTTACTACCTAACAGGTAAAAAAAATTAAAATGACTTGTGCAAAATAACAAAAAATGTCCCGTTATTTCCTACAGCGCAATAGCTGAATTATGTTGCTCACCATCAGCTAATGTGTCACGATGATGATGATGATGATGATGATGACGATGATGGTGATGGTGATGATGATGATGATGACGCGGCATCTTCCGTTGCTGGCTCTGTGTATTCATCGAACTGTTGATAATACGAACACATTTGTCTACTCTACCTATCTATTTACCTGACAATGTCCCCCATTGAGTAACCGAATCGGAGGTAATGTGCAGAACTCACTGATCCGAGCAGCATCTCTTTCGGATTTATCTGGTTATGATGAGACCAGCTCTCCAACACCCCCTCAGATTAGGACGTGGAATTGTAACTAATCTCCGGACGTTTTTTTATCACTGCCGTCTGAGCGAGCTTAAAAATGTTGCGTGTGAGCGCTTGAGAGACGAACCGATTCATCGTTTGTACCTGCAGTGTTTCGATCCACACAGCCGTACGACTCATCTGCAAGTATCACCACATGGATCACTTCGGATGTGTTTGCTTTCATTTCGTCCTCGCCTCTGTTCTCGTCGTACTGACGACCGGTGTCATCCACGTGCGCACGTGTCGCCGTCGTGACAACCATGCGATAAGAGCTGCATTGCTATGCTTCTTTCTCCACGAATGTTTCCGGTGTGTTTGCGGTGTTCGGTACAATCATTGTCTCTAGACATTGATCGATCTTACTTTTTGCGAACCTTGAAATTGTTGCTGAGTGTCTGATTACGGTCGACATTGGCGGTTCTACCATTTTTCGGTTCAATAAAGTGCTGATGGTATTTCGTGCTAATTTCATAGGCTGTTTCTTGCCTCTTCCGTCCTCCTGTTGTTTTCCGTCTTTACCAAGATATCCGGTCCGACGGCATTGGTCGGATAGCGTTCTATACTGCCTACAAAAGCAGATTTCAGTAGTATGCCGCCACACCGTACCGACGTTTCTCCGCCGCGGAACCACCATTAGTCGCGCTTGGGCTGCGCATATCGCGAGGTTGGCCCCACCTACGCGGATTTGACTCGGTGACCTCCGGCCATTGGCCATGTGCTCAGTTTAGTTCAGTGATCAACCATGATTCGTGCACTGTGTACCTTATCCAGTTTGCTACACACACGTTCGTGAAGTAATAAAATGTTGAGAAATGTTAATAGTAGTAATTTCAGCGAAATGGATAAAAAGGTAAAATCATCAAATGAAGTGATCAAAAACCGGATATAGGAGAAAAAAGTTAGGATTGCATCCGTAAGGAAGAAAATGAATTATTATATCAGTTTCTGATGGCCGAATCGCTACTAAGAAGCAGTATTCACTTCGAGAAAAAGCACTATCTGTGCCAATAAAATCACTTTAATGAAATAAAGACCAACAATTGTTGAACACAACCCCACAGCTATTCAGTGTAAGGACGGAGTATGAGCAACTGGTAATGCACAAGTGGAACATAGCACTTCGCTGGGGTGACAGTCACATATTGTTAGGAGACGGCACTGAGCCGATGATAGCTGTCTTAACTACAAAAGTTAGCATTACCTGGAACGGTTCCGATGTACCTTTGGAGTGGCGGTTGCCAACCTTCACCCTCATTTTCAAAGAGAGTAACAGAACTCCGGACGAGAAACATCGACGCACTACGCTCATAATCATGCCCTTCAAACTACTCGCGAGCACTATACTGTGTGGCTCACTGGTCTCTAAGAATCCCGTCATAATGAAAGAAATGCCGAAAACTGCTGTGGTAGTGGTTGCTTTGACCGTATAATTAAATTTGGCCATGTCACACATACAGGTGGCATATGTGCATGTTCACGTATTTATGTGGTGCTGTCTTCGAAACAGGTACCAGAGGCTCAGTTTTGTCCTAATATTCCTACACAACCAGGTGAAGGACAACGGAGAGATTAACTCGAGCTCACTGCGACATGCACGGAGCAACAAGACGGTTCTACATATCCGTTCATCCTCCACTTTGTTCCTGTGTCCCATTCCATTAGTTGGGAGTAGTTCTAGAGAGTATTCTATTAAAAGACCTGTGTTACGTCGACGATAAGCCTATTTGTGTTAAAAACCAAGATGATTACATTTGTTTCTGGATACCTTGTCATATAGCGCCGAATCTCCTAAGTATATTAAAAGGTACGCCGGTACACGATACTGACGCTTCGGTGCCACCACCAGTCGCGCAAAGGCCTGGTATACCCCTAGGTCGCCCGCACCTACGTAGATTCGAACCGCTGACCACCTCCGGATTACAAGGCAAGCACGTGATTTTTTCCGCTTCTGGCCAACTTCACATCTCTGCATCTAAGGAAACGCCCGCTTTGTAAGTCAATCCTCCTCGCCAGAATCGGTATATTTGTACTCTTCACGGCAGCAACCTAAATGACGATCATCACTTTTTTCCACACTACGATCTTCTGGTGTTGTGTCGAACACCAGATCCATTTTCCCCGCTTTATTGTATCGTTTTCTGCACACACACACACACACACGTTTTTCATCGTACGAATCGCCACTACCCTACTCATCTGGTTCCGGTACATGTGGTAATATTGGTTTCAAGATATTTTGTGAGGTAAAGTAGTTACCGTCTTTGTTGCTTTCCGATGCAAACTGCTTTCAATGCTCCGCAGTTGCATGTGTTCTGTTTAACTGGTTATGCTAATTCAATGTTTTCTCTGACTTTCTTCGAAGGGGCTAACTGTTACGTTTACGACCCATATAGCTCATATCCGGATGCGCTGTATTTCTAAGACGATAAAGCAACAATGGTATATCAGGAGTATACCGCTATGCCGTACCAAAGCTTTGCTATCACACAACCACCTCCAGTCGCGTGCGTGCTGGGGCTGCGCATGAACGAACGTGCGATACTTCATCCACCTGGTCTGCTTGTCGGCAACCACCGTCGTTTGCATCAGTTTTAAGGTTTACCTAGACCTTGCCCGCTACACGACGATGTATCAGTAACTGTGTTTTTTCCAGTCACTCTAGATTTAGCTTTCTTTTCCGTCTTTATATCGTGTCATAACTATGCATCACCATACCAATCACGCTTACTTGTTGATTTTATTTGGCATTACTTTCGCTTCTCCGAACCTCACCATGGCTATCACGATTCAGCACAGCTGTCAATCACTCGTGAACTTCCGATATGTTTTTCAGTCAGGGTGAGCGCTTACGGAAATGTCTTTTTATCTTTACTTCCTCGCAATTCAATCATTCCAACACCACTGTGCTTTGTCTCACCGGCTGCAATAGGTTACGTTGGTGTCGTCAATCGAAGTCAACGAGACATTGACGGCCGGAAAGATATTGCTGCCGCACTTGCTGCCGAAAGGCGGTTTTTCCTCGGTCACCCCAGTTACCGACACCTGGCCGATCGCATGGGGACTCCGTATTTACAATCGGTCCTCAATCAACAGCTGACCAATCATATCCGGGAATCATTGCCCAATCTGCGAAACCGGTTGCAAACACAACTACTGAGCATAGAGAAAGAAGTGTCCGAATTTCAAGGTATCAAATCGGATGACTCGTCGTACAAGACTGGCGCTTTATTGCGGTATGTACCGCGTTGTCTTTTCATACGATTTTAGTCCATGCATAGTTCGAAGCTTCGATTTTCTTCCTGTTTGGATCTGCACACTATGGCCAATAGTTGAATCCTGCAGGCTTGTCCCATTATTTCCCACATACACAGTGAGACACAAAGATGAGAATTTGTCAGTTTTTCTGTTTAAAAAATTCTGGAAATCAACTACGTGGGCCACCGACCTGGTTCCATGCTTGGTTGACACAGTCGAAAAGAGTATTGCCAACATGTGAAGCAATCCGCAGGTCCTGTTCTATTATCCCATCGAGGATCTACATCCTTTTTGTTTAAAATATTCTACCGACAATTAACTTGGTTTCTTTGACTATCCACTTGATCTTTAAGAAGGAACGGAAGTCGCAGGGAGCTACTTCTGGCGGCAATGTTTTTATCAGCTGAAAACAACATCGCAGTCAAGGCGTTGTAAACTGATGCGTTGTCTTGGTTCAAAACCAACTCGTTTCTTATTCCGGTCTCTTCCCTTTCACACGTTTACGCAATCTGCCCAAGGTTTTAGCCTAATTCTGGTCATTTACTGTCTGGTCACTCGAACACCCGACGTTAGCTTTCTTCACTGTTGTCAACGGCAACATCTGTGCTTAGATGGCTTAGCTGATCATCAACTTCATGCGTTGTTTGCCCTCCCCAACGTCACTTATCATTCAGAAGCGCGTGCATGAGAAATCCTCCTTCACCATAAGCCTCAACCGGTATTTGAAAGTTTCCATCGCGGAATTCTTTAAGTTAACAAGAATATGGAGTCAATTCGTTCACTTTTGCAGCCTGCGATATTCCGACCAAAGGTTAGAACATGCTTATGTCTGGGAATATGCCTCATGCTGAGCTTGATGTTGCATACATGATGCTTCTTCACCGCACTTGGGCTAAACCGACTTACACTTAATATGGATAAAAGTTATTCCATTTTATTTTATTTGTTCAGTTCTGGTCTTTTGCTGCATCTTTGTGTCAATTTTGTGTGTTTGCTTTCCCTCAAATTCTATGTTGGTTTTTTGATATCCCCGGTGTGACTTCGCTTGAGGTGCATGTTGACTAGATGCCTATCTGTCTAACACCCTCTATTTCGATTACTGGCTCCAGGAGACTGTGAATCTTTGCCGGGAGGGAGGACGGGATGCACGGTCCGCGTGGCCGTACTACGCTCAAAGAGGGTTTCCATTCAATATCGAGCGGACTATGGTCCAGCCACCACGTTGTGTACGTCTGATACGCATGATTCCTTACATAGCTAGACAGGAATGCTGCTGCTGTGCTGGTTGAAGGGGTGTGGGCCGCCTCCGTTGCTGAAACGTGGCTCCCATCCACATGCCTCCCAGTCTTATTCCTTTGGGGTTTACACTGGATATGGGGCGTGTGCATGGAGCTATGTGTGGTGCAGCCATCTTTGGTCCCTATGTAGACGCAGGCGTCCTATGGCTGTCCTAAGGAGGCCGCAGTGAGGCAAATCCGGAACTGGGTGCCGCTAACTATATCTGAGAATACGCCCCCATGTACTGACGGAAGCTACCGAGCTGCGTCTTGTAACAACGCTATGACAGATTAGGACATGTGCTATAGCAGCCTCTCGCCACTAGTTTCTGAGCTATAGGGTTAGTCTCGTTTTTATGTCTGACTTTGAGCCAGTTATGACCTGAGTGTCCATGCGTTAGTCTCTACCACATGTACGTATAACCGCAACCTTTGCCATTTGGTATATCTGCCACGCACTGTGGGATCCCGATTTCCTAACTAGCTATCGCGTTGATATAAGACAGTGTCATTACTTTGTTCTCGTCTCTTTTTTACCCAGCCATACGGGTGTTGGACAAAAGCGGATGCGAGTTTCCTATCCGGATGCATTGCTAAACACTCAACTTACCACCAGTGTCAATAGAGCGCCATTGAAGACACTAACTTCAGTGCTGTGCTTTCACCCAATTGCAGCTTTTCTTCTACAACCCGTGGTAACGAGACTGGACCCTAACGTGTTGCTACCGTTTGCGTACCCGGCCCTTGTAGGCTACTCTTACCACATTGGTCAATGGTTAGAGGTCAGACAAACTCAGTCTCCTGATCCTCCAGGTTGAGAGTTGGAAAAAGGGATACCATTCATTTCTACAAAATTAAATTATCTCCGTCTCACCGCTGCCTTTCTGACAGGCTTTTGAACCATCAAAAGCCTTTGGTTGCGTACCCTAATCATTCTGTGTAGGTCGTAGTGTCACTTGGCGTCCCATACAATTGGTAGCAATTAATCCAAGTAGATTACTTTGCCATAGACTACAGGTGTTGTTGTTCCACCCTGGATTGTCGCTCATTCTGGAACACCTGCGTCGACTCTGAGTATGTTTTGCTGCGTTGTCGGTTATCTCTAAGGTTTATCGGGAGGCATAACGATTGATACCCGTGATCCGCAACTGAGAAATTATCCTATCCCTCAGTCTGACATGCCAACCAAGATGCCCTACCTACTGAACTTTCGCTCTCTCACGCTAGGGCCACTGACCTTCAGTGGAATGGAATCTCGGCTGCCACGCACGACACTGGAGACTCTGTTTGCGGCACTATCAATCGTCACCTCCCCAGCCACTGGATATCCGAGAGGTCAGCAGCTTGTTTGAATAAGGAGGAAAACTGCCGATTGGCTCTGAACGCAAAGTAACTATGTGGACTATTAGGCGCGAACTAATACGGAGATTGTGTGTTGAGAAGGTAGTGTGTGGTAGACCGATAAGGTTCAATAAATGGATGAGGCTGGATCAGTAGACAACTATCGCAAGTTCAAGTCAAATCTAGATAAGCTTTATACTTCCTGATGGAAACATTCTCTGCAATTTGCACTGACATTGCGGACATACTACAACATAAAATCGGTGGGAACATGATGTGAATTGACAAAAACAACCAAAAGAGTATATTTTTAAGCAAGCAAACTTTCTCAGTTGTTGCATCATCACTCTTGGGTCAACTAACAAGCGAGACAGATAAATCAAAATGGTGTTGCGATACGAAGAGCTATTGGAAAACAAAACTCTAAATTTTGACCGCGTTAAAGAACTGGATTCCAAGCTAGCTAAAACTGTGTGTACTGCGTCATGATAAAATTCACTGATCGCATTAGTGCGATCAACAGAATTCACTTGCATGTCCCGTGCTTCTGCTCCTGCAAACTGCAAACAAGCAATTCGTCAACGTTTCAATCCTTTTCATTTGCGCTTCCATTTGGGATTGCTGTTGCAAACTCAGCTTCTGAAATTGTTCAATGGAAAAATTCACATTTCCAGTTTTTTCCGTCGCCATTTGGTAAAACTTCTCTCTTGCTGCAATTCCGAAGCACGAACTTACTCTCTTTCGCACCACCTCAAGCCCGAACAAAGGAAATAGTCAGGACGATCTTGCCCAAAATGATATGTTAATCGCAGTCCAACAGGAGCTGTACAAAGGTGGCAGACCATGATCATATTTATGGGTTGCCTCATCACCTTCTACTTCTAGTATTAGGATGTCAGCTACCTAGGTTAGTTGTTCCCCATAGATGGTCGATCTTCAGGAAGGTTGTTAGTCACCTGCTGGCCTTAGAACCTTCGATGCGCTAATCGTCAACAATCGATTTTTGCTGAAATAATGGATCTTCCGGGTAATTTTTAATTTCTCCTGGACGGTCCGTCAGTCATTTCGGGCTGTACTTTGCACCTTCTAAATTCAAAGCTTTCCACCAAGGTTAGCAGGGTACGCCCAGTGTGCTGATCCTTGGTGGGGGTCAGGTAGACGTCGTTCGGAAATTCGACTGCCTGGACAGCTGTCTTAGAACCTGTGGAATAGTAGATAAGACCAAAAACCGTATAGCGAAAGATCGAGGTACTTTAGCTCAATTTCACCACTTATGGTGCCGATGCGACATCACCTTAGTTACGATGAGTAGAGTTTATCATGCTGCCGTCTGTTCAATCCCACTAAAGCTGTGAAACCTGACCCATCAGATCGATAAAGAGGCTAGTTGCGTGCGAAAATCATTACCACGCTTTGGCTCATGTCTAGTAGAAACACCATGTGAGCAATGAACGTGCTCGGCGTCGCGTATTTGATGCAGGAGGAACGCGTGAACTGCTCAACACCGTTATTTCATGCACTAGGCTCCGATGGCTGGGCCACATGTTGCGCATGCCAATACACCGACTCCCGCGATTTGCGTTGTTTGTGCACCCGAGGTGTGGATAGAAGAGGAGGGCAGACCAAACGATGACTTGGTCGAGAGGAATGAAGACCCTCACTCCAAACTTAACCTCAGTTGGCGTTTCCCGACTGTTGGGCTGGAGTCCCAAGGACGATGAATGCGTCTAGTTGGAAACACTTGTCGAAATATCGAAGCGTCAACCTCAGTATCTTTTGTGTTATTGTATTGTATTGTATTTAACACTTGCCCAGTAAACATTTGGCAGAGTGCCACAACACATAACAATAACAAAAAAAGAGTGTGGGTAAGAGGAGTGGAAGCAAAGTTCCATGTGTTGTGTGGGTATTGAGCTTCCCGGTTGGCCAGGCCGAGGAAGAGGGTTGACTTAAGTGACCCCACCCCGAGCCTTTGGTCTAAAGACCTGACCTGCAAGGCAGGGGGGGTGATTCACGAAGACCGTTGACAGCCAAGTGGCTCAATCGCCTTCTTTGTGTTCGGAAGCAGTCTACAGAGAAGCTGGTGGCGAGCGAGGTTGTTCATCCGCCCTCCGTTAGATACTCACCCCCAGTTACAGGAGGGAGTGGTCAGTGACCCTATAGCCGGTCACATTGGCTTTGACACCGCGCCGTACGAGCACTTGTGGCATTTAATTGAGAACCAAGTGACCAGCCCAGAACTCCCCACGCTCTGAGACGCTGCGGCTGATTGTCCGCGACTGCTTATTCATCTCGCATGCAAAGCAAACGAGACTTATCCACCGTTACCTCCACATTGAAGGCATTTTTTTGCAACAGTCTATGAATAGACATTGCACCATCGAAAACCATGGAACTCAAAACAAGGTACAGAAATAGTAAAAGAAAACACAGCACAACACAACAATGTCCACGGTTTCGTCATTCCCCGATCCGCAACCTGGGTACGAGCCCGATAGCGTACAGCTCCGTCACAGGATCTTTTGTCTTATGCGTTCCTTTGTCCCACACCATCCCACTTAGCCTCCTCCAACCAAGCTCTAACTGTCGATGCAAAACAACCGAAAATAATAACATTACTTGTCCTTATTTTTTACTTTGTAGTATTCATTAATTTCATTTTTTCCGGGTATCTGACTGCATTGTATTGCGGCACTATAGCTTAGGCATTTCTCACCTCCAGCTAACGTGTAGATTGAATGAGTGACAGTCTATTTGTGACCCAGTTACTCTACTGGATGGTTTGGATATCGCAAGCAATACGTGAAACTGCAAGCTTCACTGTGTTTCTGACTCTTGCGATCCCCTATCTATAACTTTCTGCTTCGCATCGTGTATTCTTATTCCGAGTTACATCCAACGCACCTGTGGCATTCGAAGCAATGCTTCTAAAAACTTTTACTTCAAATTTACTCTCCCATTACTCTTCCTCCTTTTTCACTCCCAGCATGGTACGGTCATTTGAGACGGAATTTATCGGAATCATCGAGGGGCACGCTATGGAAGTGAACACTCAGGCGCTTTCAGGTGGTGCAGAAATCGGCCGTATTTTTCACGAGCGTTTTCCCTATGATATGCTCAAAGTATGTGGTGATTGCTCCACTGCATGCATGTCTGTTTTTGCGCCACTGTCCTTTTGTTGCTACTTGTAACCGGATGCACTAAGGCATATCTCTCATAGGTTCATCTTTGATTTCAGCTCATTTGCCTTTTATTAAAGTAGCGCCTGAGTGCGCGTGCATTTTCTTTGATCTTTGGACCGGGGTTGAAATCGGAAGGAGCGAAGTTTGGCGTACACTAGGCTGTTCACCCGCTTGCAACCGTTGTGGGCTGGTGCGTTGTTCTCATTCCAAATCAAATCGTTTCTCCATAATCGCGGAACGGATTTGGGATCGATTTATCTTGTTGTTGCCCCAATATAAATGCGTGCCAAAGGAGTGTTTGGGCCATCTAAACTGACAAAAGGGCCAAATTTAAGTCTCCCGATTCATACAATCTATAGGTGCTCCTGCTCCTTCCTAATAATGCGATACTCACAATATTTGCAACACCACAGTGTCTGCTTGCGGTTCGTAGGCTCCCATCTCCACCTGATTGGCCGCAATCGTTCAACGCTACCATGTGTGATTGTGGCGAGTCACCACGAGTGATTACTAGCTACGATATACAGTTGCTCACCCTCCACTACTATACATGTTATTGTTGTGCAGAAGACAGGGCTGGCCCCTTGAATCAGGACTTCGTTAGCTAGGCTGCCCACTTTTGATGTACATCGCTGTTGACTATTGTCGTCACTTCGCCCCTGACGGATAAAGCATCACTATTGACCTGCATTTCCGCTGATTTATTTTTGGACTCCTCGTCCGACGACAAGGGTCAGTGTTTATGGTAACTGCCGCCTCTCAGTAATGGTCCAATCTGGTCGTCCGACTTTTTCCTCTCCAGATGCTCATTTATACTTTTGTGGCTTACCGACTCGACTCGTTCTCATATCTCACAACTGATGCTCCACTGAAAATGGGGCAATTTGAGTGGACGCTCTAATCCACACCACGTTAGTACTGGTCCTGGACTTCTGACACGGAGAGTTTGCTTTCCATCTCATCGAAGTATTCTCAACGTAGCCTAGTTAAACCCTTGTCTGGATAGAATTTATGGACTGTGCTCTCATTAGCTGCGAAGGTGCATCAGTATTCACATGCCTTTCCGATAGAGTATTCGCTTAGCGTTGTCAATTTTCACCTTTTTATGTATTCTTATCGGATTCACTCCGGGGCCTATCATATTGTGTATTCGTGCCTATATTGGTAATGTATCTGTCATTCGAAGGGATCGGCGCGGACTATTTATACCGCCTTTTCCTGTTGTTAGTTCACGACTAGGCCGCACTATCCACTCTACCCGAACAGTCAGCAAACCCCACCACTAAAGTGTCGCGCCTTTTTCTCCAAACCATTGCTTTTCCCCTTTTACATGTGGAAAAGCTCCAATCGTTTGGCTTCTTCACATAGCCATATGGTTGAACCAGCGGAACTCCACTGACTCTCCATGGAAGACAACTGGTCCTTACTACATTCATATCACCACTAGAAACCTCTACCTGGATTGCCTTTTCGTGAATACAGTGATACACCATTGCATACAATCGGACCGTACGGCTTGCCGCCAACGATTTAACTCCATCAAATAGCTTTTCGATCTACAACCTTTACCATGCACTCATTCCCTCGGATTGCAGAGTTGAACTGGGACGGCATGCTGCCAGAACGTGCGTTCGGTGAGGTTGCATCGAGTCACATGCGGATTACATATACCCACCTGTAACCTAGCTACCACCGGATTAGGATATGTCCACTGAACATAGATTTGACACATTCTCTACTTTAATTTGCTTGCCCAAGCACCGGCCACTAGGCATTATCGCGCTGAATTGCAGCACTCAGTGGCGGTGTTTGAGGTGACACCTTACTTTAGCTTATTAGACTATAGGGGATTCATTGTATTTTTGGGAAGATATGTCCCAGTTGGTCGCAGTCAGACGGCGCTAAACGGCCATTTCATCCTATTGGGACTCGTCAGTAGCACACATCCGATGGATTCGAACTCATAACTTTACTCTTACGAGTCATTGACTTATGTCACTGAGCAATGAGTGACGGCGGCGCATCGCTATGGCTGATTTCTAAATGCGGTGTGGGGCGGCTCATTCTCCACTGCCCAGCATGTTATGAACTTGCAGTGGGTAGGGCTGGCCCCTAAAGCTACGACTTCCTTTGCAAGTCGCCATCAGTCGATGTGGCATCTAGGCTGGTAAGGTGTCTGCTGATTACAGAATAGGATTATGTGTTCGGATCCTGCAGGGGCCGGCAAATGCGCGCTACTGCCGAGTCTCAATAGGACGTAACATCCGTCTAGTGCTTTTCTGAGTGTGTGGTTGCGTATAGTTGACGCTAATCCTGCTTTAGCGTGCTTGCACTCGCTGTCTGTTCACAATGTGCAACTCCATATTGTCTGTCTAACTCATGTGTATGCAGGCCTAAGTTCCGATCAGCCATGAAAGCGATTCTCTTTTACTTAGGTGCCACTGGTTCAGTGATAGAGACCCCTTCGCTTTCCGATACTAACGGAGTTAAAGTAGGTGACTTTTGCCCCCTAATAGGACAGTGTATTTGAATCGAGTGTGTTACTGGCTAGATTGTCTGCAACGTTTCTTTAGGCAAGTTGTAGAGAGTGAATGAACACACTTGGAACTTGTCTGCTTTTTCACATAGATGACCTCGTGACTGGACGAGTTTTGCTTCCTCACGAATCGTAGCGCTTAGTATCTAAGCGCTTCTCCAATGTGCTTCTCTGTTATCGATCGTAATGGCGGTGGTGTTGTCTTCTGCCCTATATCCTACATCGTACGGCTGTTCTCTATTCCTCTGCGAGTCTCCTCCATCGAATACATTAACTGTACACGTGTATCCACACCTCATTGCGTCGACGACTCACATATGATCTGTTCCGACCCGCCCCACTGCGTGCTCGACCGATTATATGCAAATGTGTCTTACACCGCACCTCTCCGAGGGCCAGCCGTTCCAGTTTGGCAACCTGGATTGGCTGCGGCGTCGCTTTCAGTATATTACTGGTCAACTGAGTTGTGTCTGTTAGCAACTGCGATCACCGGTCAGCAGTGTATTTTCTACCATAGCTTGTGTAATCGCGGTTTTCGTGTTTGTTTTGCGCTCGCACTCCCTCCATACTTGACGTTTGGACTCGGTTCAACGTCCCATTTCTACTGTGACCGACAAACTCAGCATGCAACGCTTCCGTTACTGCGCTATACCGTTGTGTCGATAAGACATACCTGTTACTTGCTATACATTTTGTTACGGCGTATTTTGTGTGATATGTTGCAGTTAAGGGCGGTTGCTTAACCCAGACAGCGTACGTGCCGATATATCAAGCAGTCTCCTTGTCATCGTTCCCATTCTCTTGTTCACTGGACACGCTATCTAGTTCACTTAGGTGGCTAGTCAGCTGGCCTGCCTATCGTTTCCACTCTCAGGCGCTCCGTCTTCTTGCCTCTTCACTTCTGACACTATCAAGTAACGCGAATGAAAGCGCTAACCTGCTCATATCCTCAACTGGGAGATGTTCAACGCATGTCGGTCTGATAATATAGTTCAATGCCACAGGTTGACCGGTTTTGGCTCCGCCCCAAATGTCTGTGGTGCATCCTAAACAACAGTTGTCAACTTCAGGCCATGTTCCATTTAATACCCTAAACTATTGGTTGCGGCTCTGACTCCTGAAGAGCGTGCAACTTGTTGTTTATAACTTCCGAGAGCGTTGAGTTTGCAATGCAGAAGTCAATCCTTGGGTGTTTTGCACCAGACGCACTGAGTCGTACTTTGCACTTGCACCGCCTACGTGGGGTATGTCGTGCTATTGCATACCTACCGATCGGCTATCACGACTTACACTATTTGCTGTTGGTTATTTAGGACCCCGGAGTGGTCTGTCGATGATGTAGCATGAGGGTGTGGCGAAATTCACCGAATCTTTTAGTCAACCTGGCACTGCCTGTATTCCTGGACTGGGCCTCGGTGTTGGTCACCTTGAGGTCAGTAACAGACGTAATCTTGTCCACTAACCATAATCGTCGGCTTTTTTCACCGATTTCGTCTCCATTGCTCCTGTATTCTCAATCCCGTCATTCATGACAAATAGATTTGCCTCATTTCGGTTTCTCGGTTTTACCTATTTGATTGATCTGAACTCAACGACAATATCTTATTGAGTAACCACCCAACAAACACACCTCTGATGGCTGTTGAACTGTTCGCTGAGCTTGGCAATTTTGTTGCAAACGTTTCGTCCACAATCGAGGTGACATCATCAGTGCGTCGTTGAGTGGCGTGCAATAGCGTAGAGTAGCGTGAGAGTGCACTCTCACCGAGGCTCCTCTACGCCACTCTAGGTCCAATAGCTAGCATCCAATCAGCAACTTGAGGGGGTCCAAGAGCAGTTATGTACACGCTTACATCGACGCACTGCATACTTTGTGCAGCTATGGGGACCGCACATCAGCAACGACTGGTAGCTTTATGGAGCCAAAAATATACTTGGGCGCCTTGAAGCCTTGTCAACTTTTGTATCGGTTGCAACCAACCGCTATATATTATTTGTAAACTAACGATGACCAGCGAGTCCTTGCGAGCTTCTCTATTTCGATAGTATTCACAGCATATTTAGTGCCACGTTCAGCAGCGCATCGACACTGCGATTCGTTCATCTTTGGTCTCCTGAAAAGAAAACGCGCTTGCCTCACCTGTGACACATTTGAGTGGTTGCATTTTCAGCGCATGCGCCACTGCTGCCGCACTGAGCTATGACATCAACGAATCACACAGTACTAAAACCATTACTTACAGACTGTATTCACTTTTCACTTAGACGACCAGTCCCGCATCATCTGACCTTTGTTAAATCGGCTGGTGGGCGCAGCATGTAAGGCAAGACTTGATTTCAGTATTGTAATGCTAGCAACTAGTCCAACCGATTTTGCTTTTTGATGTGGCATTACGTGTGCATCGTAAAGATTAGGTTATTAAGTTGAATGAAAAATGTAGCACAAGTCAAGCGTACAATCAACGTGAGAATCTCTACACCTGGAAATGTGCTTTCTTCGACCGCACACTCGAGTTGTCGTCATATTAGTGGTGACCGGCGACAATATCAGTTGAACCATATAATGAGTTGTCGAGAATTCATGCAGTCACCTCTATAGAATTTAACTCACTTTGTATTGAAACCATTTGATGTCGTACAATCTGTTCACAAACTTGAATGGACGACGCTAGGGTTTGATACAGTAGAACAGCGTTAAATAACTGAGTTGCTTATTGTTGACATTGCGAGACACGCCTGCATACGCATTATGATGGTAATACGAACTCGAAGAATTGGTAATTGTACAACACTCTTCCAAGTCAACCACATATAAGCTGAATCTCTGTGGGTTTGTGCTTATGTGACCAATTTAATTTGTTTGTGTGACTCTGTATTTTTGATTGTGTTTGATCTGGTCACTAGTGCAAAAAGGGATCATAGGAACTATTCGAAGTAGATGGCTGACGTCTGTGGAGTGGATGAGGCAGTAACTATATTTAGTGGCGCGTCACATTCTCCTTTATAGAACGAACGCTTGTCATGCAAAAACCCACCACGTCCTGAAACACTACCGCCGAAACATTCGCTAGAACGGAATTAACCCGCACCACGGAGTGGTTGTCCGAGTAGCCAGTTTGACATTGATTGAACGGGATACTACGGTTTGACCACGGATAATCATATTTTGGAGTGTAGACGCAAGACTGCGTGCCTTATCATCACCATAAAAGGCGATTATTGTGATTCGACAAAAGAGGCCAGAAGGAGAATTCTCATAATCTTTACCACTTTTTATTACAGCAATGGAAAGGCCTCCGCGTTAGGACAGCGTCGTCTGTTGTATTTGAACCTAATGGTCGTGATTGAATTGGGAAATCTTTCGGCGTGTGGAACGGTCCCGTAGTCAGCTTGGAGCATAGAGGAATTTTGCCATTTAACTGGGTTTTGTTCAACAATGACTTGTAAATGATGGAAGATTCATTGTGAGGTTCTCGTTGTGTGATTGGATTGCGACGTGAAATCTCAATGTGAACCGTGATTCGCATTGGAGAGAACTTTGGCCAATTACTTGTAAACTTCATAAGAATTTTGGCTTCGCAAATCGCATTATCTCCATTCGATGGCTCATCGCCACCAGTCGTACCTATTTCCATTGTTGCCACCCGCCAAATCACTTTCGTATGCTTTGAATGTTCACGTTCTCCAACTTTCGGTGCATTCAATATGTCCCATTAGCTTACTCTCCATCTTTCAAACACAAACCATTTTGCAGTCTGTTGGTAATTCTATTGACACACTGTGCTGTTTCCGCCCCCTGCAAGCAAATCGCGAACCGCAGCTTCCGGACTATGCTATTATTCTTTTACCTTACATGCCTATGGTCGAAGATTACTCGTCCGCAGTACGAGTTATTTACTTTTCATAGGATGTGCTTGGTTTAAACTTTGCCACTTCCATCATCATCATCTTGCGCACACATTTTCGTGGACGCCATTCCCCGACACTAGTTTGGGCGTCATTAATCTGTCAAATAGACTTTCGGAAGTTTTTGCACAGTCTATAGACAGATACTGCTTGTTCCCGGCATTTTTAGCTATTGCTAAGACACTAAACTATACAAGATACGACGCGGCATCCAGTGTGTTGCGTTGCGGTTTACACGCGAACTAATCTACCTCATCAGCTTGAGCGCTGGTAAATACCCGGGCACCGGGCTGTTTTCTAGGACAGCACAATGCATTTCTGGGATTCTTTTTCGGCCGTTGGGGTTATTCCACTTTGTTCTGAAGTGCCGTGGGTGATATCAGTGGTTAACACGCCACCCTTAAAAGGGTTACAAATAGGACATCTGAGGTACGGACCTCGTTATTCGTTTTGCTTCGCCTTTCCTTCGACAACCGAGACAACTTGGTGTCGGCAGGCAGCAAGGATATATCTGACGACGCGATGCTGATCTCATCATTTTCTCCACATAAACGCTGCTAAGTGAATTGTTTCAGAAACCATGTGTTCACAACATACATGAAAGCAACGATTCATGTAACCTATGGTTTGTTCGCTTCAAATCTACATGTCTTCGTTCGCCAAACTAAATGATCAGTTGGCAAAAACGCCACTTACAACCGCGATCTCGTCAGCTACGCGTCTGTACAGCTTTTTTTATCATTGTGAAAGATTTGTTAACAATGACCCCTATCTTCTGCATGAACTGATCAGTTACTGAAGCGAGTGCGTTTATGTGTAGAAAACTATCATTTAATTTTTTGTGATTACTAACTCTGACTTTTTTGTCTAATCGGACAACCCGTTAGACTAGTCAGATAGAGTGTCGTAGTTAGTTTTGTGTCGCCAGCAATACTGTGGACAGAAATGTCTACTTTCGGTAGTAACATATTGGGTAACTAATCTATAAAAATCGTCCATTTCAACGATATGTTTAGAGCCTTGTATGCGTTTCCAGCGCACACCGGTGGGTGTCCACCCGATAAATTTGACTTGAATTCATACAGCCGGCTAATTTCATCGACGTCGCATAACTTCAGTGGTAATGCCTCTACCTCCATTCAGGCTCCCCTTGTCCGAATGGAACTAAAGGGGCGATAGACTTCGAGTCGCTTAACTCTGTTTCCAACTCAGCATGTACCCAGCCTTTTTATTCCGTTCTCCTCTTTGCATCCATTTGTTCACGTTTCTCCCCAGTAGTAATGCTGTAACTAATTTAGTCAATGAGCAACCACACACTGTTGGCGTCGGTATTCTGTTGATAGAACGACGTCAGAGACTTGTCTGTTAACAAACACTGTGCCTTCCCTTTTCTCAATACTTGGTGCTCCGTTTGCGTGTATTCGTGACTTCGTATCCCTACACGCGATTGCATATTGATGGAATCCAACGTAGGCGATGACAAAAGTGCACCGTTTAGTTGAAAAGCGGGAGGTGGAGCGTGCCTGTGCTTTATTCTGCTGAACCAAGCTGTGAGCCACTTGATTAGTGGAATGACAAAGCGGTTGAAAGGGAGGTTGGCACTGACCGCCGTTTTTAACACAGTCCCACCTCCAAAAATAGAAGCTGAAACCAAATTTGGTCACCGACACAGAACCTCGCTTGAAGCAAAACAAAAAATTCCGGAATCAATAACAACCTTTTGCGTTCAGCTCAAAGCAACAGTGCATGTGACGGAAATATGTACTGAAAGATATATTTGTAAAACTTTCTATAAACAAAACACCTAAGTAGATAGAGTGATTGGTGATTTTGATCGGGGTAGAGACAGTCACTTATCCTAACGAAAACAAGTAGCATTGCATGCTAGTGTACAAGGGGATAAAGTTGCGTATCACACACCTAAAACAGTGTATACAGATGTGGAAAACTAATAGTATTGTTTATTAGAAACGGCATAGTTTATTCACCCTTCCTGACTTCCTTTGTCGGCCGCGGGTGTTGAACCCTATGGCAGCTTGTTCTTCCAAACATTATGTAAATCAGAAAGATCAAACTTCACACGCGATTTGCAGTGTGATCATTCGTCTCCGTTAGGAACTCCTCCACTGCATGTGCAGAGAAAAGTGCTATTAAGTGAGTCAAGCCGCCATAAATTGTGATAAAACAATGGTTCAGTCAAATCGTCAGAACATGAGGTGTGCAACACCAATGCCTCTGATTCCGTCTTCAGTGCAGCGTTTCTTTGACCAACAATCCGAATCCTCATCGTTCCTCCGGCTTTCATCCTATATGTGCCGGTACGCAATGTTTCCGATCAGTTATACGTCAGAGGCGCGATGCATTCATCCTGATCATTATACCCATCGATTAACACTGATTTTTCAGTAACCACTAGAGCTTAAGGCCAATGGCTTCAATCACAAGTTAACAGCAGAAAACATGTAGCTGCATGTCTACACTGCCCATACGTCTACACGACCACACCGCATTAGATCAGTCTCATGTGTGTGCCCTATATTTCAATTGTCCATCCAAAGAACGCTCCGAATGGGGTCATTGGGACGAGCTCGAAACGACCAACCGGGTATACGGCAGCACGCTGCGCCTACACCGTGAACTTAAAGAATGCACTTTCCTTAATCCTTGTAGCCCTTTATCCCTGCATTCGCACTGCTTTAAACCTCATCTCTTTTTTGATACGATAATGCGCAATCTTCACACCTTCATCCATTCAACAGTTTTTTTTTCAAAATGTTGTTTGATCCACCTATTCAAGCACACCACTCATCTCATTTAGATTCAATTTGATGAACAAACGCTGCGGAAAGAAATTGGAATCGCTATTCAAAATATTCACGGTGTCAGGTGAGTCACTCCACTCTTCAGTTTCCCTCATCTTCGTTTGCGTACGTTTATCACTGTGAAACTCCTGAACGCCATCGTACTGTCTTGAATTGTCGTGGCGTAATTTTTGACCCACCTGGGCATTGCTTTCTCGCTTGTCTTTATCCACCATTATGAATTGTCTCATCATCCTAAATCGGCACCTCACCATGAGGCATGAGTGTATTTGTTGGAGAAAAGGAATTGAAAATGCCCACGTGCACTCCGAAGAATGTTGAACAGTAGCCTCCATATCACGGATTTGCTAGCGCGATTTACGATGCTGCCTTGGTATCCATGCTAATCATCCAATGTGGCTCTGACTGCAGGTATTCTACTGAATCGTGCGAATTCTTTACAGGTCACAGACCTTCCTTTTCATGCACACGACTCCCATTTAGTATCAGTGGTGTTGGTTACACTATTTCCTCATGTGAATGCTGCATCCGTGTGAGTGCCGATCGAGACCCTTTTATAAACTTGATCATCACAAGTGTATCTCCGATTTCTCAATGCTTATGGTAAAGTACTCGAGCACTCGTGACTATGTAGCGGAACAAATGCAAAATACTTACTTAAAGAATGATTAAGGGACTGGATTTACTGCTCCATAATCAACCAGAGTGTCTGGCAGTTCTTATAATTGATCTATTGGCTTCCATTCTGGGGAACACAATGCCTCGTCCTCACTTAATCTTTTCTTTGATTTTTGCATATTTATTCACCTGGTATGCTTGTGTGCAGTCAGATACTTTGCCGAATCGGGTCCATCCCGGACTAGCCACTCACGAACACAGCCGGTCAACATGCACGCGAACCAGTAGACCTAGTTTGGTGTAGTCAGCTCACGTTCGACGGCAGGTCCAGCGTTGTACCATGTTACCTTCCATCGAACATCGGCATCCGGGAATTAATCGCATGATGGTGCCGCCAGATGTAGACTCCTTATCTCTTACTTGGGGTAGTTAGGATAGTGGTCTTTCAATGTTTTTAATCGCGTTTCCCATTTGGTACCTTTAACTGTTCTTAGGCGTCCCACGTTCCGCATATGGTTTCTATAGCCACATCTCTTCTTCCAAATTTGCTGACGTTGCCTTACCGGTAGTTTCCACAGTGCGCTCGGCAATTTTCTCACCATAGTTGATATACATACCTGTATACGTCAACAAACCATCGCTCTTATTAGCTCTTCACTAATCGTGAATGTTAGGTATTGAAACCTTTGGCTCCGCGGCATCACCTCATCCTTTGATAATGGTGAATGTGCTCCGTGTCGCGCAACACTGGACGTCGGGCCATCCACCGACATGCTCAAGTGAGAGTGCGCCATCGCCCACGTACTCTGAGTTCGCCCGTCGGTAATCTGGTAAAAACTCCACTTCTGTCACGTAGTCGTGTCCGGATTGTCCACGGTCAGTTGTGGTACGAAATTAAGGATGCAATAAAGGGTAAAACAGCCCCGTCTCATTTCACTGCATGCGCTAGACTTGTGCTGGAAGTATTGGCAGCTGTGCGTGTTTTGGCGTCTTGGTAAATGAGCTCTGCTTAAACACGCACAATGGCACGGTACAGATATGCGCGCCCGATGAAACTGGACGAACTATGTTGTGCCGGCGCGCTCCATCTTTAGGTAATGATGCCAATTTTTCTTCACTGGGCTCCAGTTTACACAATCCCAACGCGTGTGCTTGAAAACCATGTCACTGACGATGCTTGCGATCGACACGCACTCGAACAAACTGGTCGTCATTGCCTATGTGATGAACACAAACTCTGATAAGCGACCTACTTCATGGTTTATGTCACTCGGCACTCACCACATCCATCATACTCATGGCTAATCGATTACATCCTACTATAAGATTCGCCTTCGGCAACTTCTGTCTTATCGTAATAAGCGCATACATCGGAACAGAGAAATCACACATTAGCTACAGATAGGAAACATCTCATCTATTGTGCCGTAATATATGAGAGGGAAAAAACACAACATAGGCACACCAGCTGGTCCGCCAGCTACCTATCTGCGCTTCAAAACATTTAGGAGTGCCCATCTAATGGTAGTAATCGGAGTCGAATGCTCTCATCAGCACAGTTGCCCCGTATTATTGGCAATGTTTAGTAAGAGACGCGCATTACGCAAACTTTTGCCACTACATTTTAAAGCCAGTCACTAAAAGTCTGTGCCGACTTTACCATCTCGTTTATCAGTTTGTGAGTTACAGCATACAGTAAATCCACGTATATCGTTACAGAATTTTCGTCTTTGATAAACGTCAAAGGAATATGTACATTTGGTAAACTCTGTGTAAGTCGTGGAACCGAATGATGTGCACTACTAATGAGTCTCAATAAGACGAAACGACAGTCTAATGCTTTTACGGTCTTGCGCAAGACCATCTGATCCACTTAACTGAATTTCAGATAAAATTACCTCTCGGTTTGTTCGAAACCTTCTTTTCACTTCTGCAGAGGACAGTGCTGACCCCTAGAGTCACAACTTCCCACAACAGGTCATGTACGGCAAAGCATTTTGTGTTGAAAACTCATGGAGCCATGGAATACGCTCTGCTGGCGAGTGCCGATAGGACGTCTGATTCTTTTCGGGATGTGTGGTTGACCTTCTGATTTAGGCGATACTACAAGAATTTTTCCAAATTCTCTGGTTTTTTCCCAGCTTGTTTTCACGCCTTGAACGTTCGCGGCGGATGACGATAGCCTGAGTACTGTTCACTCTGCTTTACCGTGTGTCTATCATATGTGAGGTGGCTGTGTCGAGTCTTACGTCACCGACAGCTTGTCTGATCAATGACGTGATTTTCACTGCTTCAGCCGCACATTTTTGGTCCACCGCACACAACACATAACATTATTACTTGTGAGCGTCTATTTTTAGACGGACCACTTTGACTGTGGTTTGTTAATCATCGTATTCCACGGAACACTCCCCACCCCATCATTGTTTCGACCTAAAGGAGAGACGCTTGATCTCCGACTTTTTCAACCAGATGGCCCATTACGGACCGCAGTGCTGCTGCGTCCATTTTCCTTGACTCAATCGATGCGCTGCTCTTGCGAAGCTACTTGTTAACGGATACTTCTCGCTGGTACTCTTTGCTACTTTACTTCTATTTCGTAACGACAATAATTGTCGTCTCCACATGGCTTTCAGTAATAAGTTGCTTTAAGGGCTTCTCGTTTTGAGAATATCCGCACACCCCATGTCTTTCATGTATCTGTGCAATAACCCATCCTTCTCTCATACATTCCGAAATTCATGGCAACGTTCCTGATGCGCAGCCGGTGGCGGCATACATGTGCTGTAAACTTGTTTGTTAACCAAACTGCTATCATTGACACAAACAAGGGAAATTAATATACCGAGCGCACATCCTTCTTCGCTGGTGATTAGACGCGGGGAAGAGCAATAGGCGCCTAAGGGGACTATTTTAGCGGGACCGTTCATGTATGATGATAGCCAACCCATTAATGTGTTGCGGACTTCACAGAAATCTATGTGATTCGGTAACCGTTTGTGAGGCACCCGATCGAATGCTTTTGCATGTGCAAGTATAGAATTAATGTGACATACTTTGAGTCCGGCATGTAGTTCAGGTAATGCAGCTACCAGAATGTGTACGATCCTTAGTCAAGGAAACCAGTTTAGGACCTGTCTACCAGCTCAAGTGAGTTGATGAACTTCCTCACACTTTTTCCCAATTTCATGCATAATCCGGCTATTATAGGAATGTTTTGGCTTGGCCTGTTAGTGTCAATCTTCTGTTTTGCGCAACCATTGTGGTGTGGGCTGCTGAATGAAATTTTCCATTGATCTGCAGATTATTTTGATTCCAGTGTAATGACAAACATATACAGAAGGAGCAATGACATGTCAGGCCCTCCCAGTTTCATGGTGGATGGGGAGATGCTATCAGCTTCCAGAATTGAGAGCGGTTGAATATACTCTGTTGCTTGGTGGATATTGCGGAGAGCAATCGCACTTTAGATGGAGCCTTAGTGTAATTAAAGCCTTATTGTCAAGGGTCATGTAGGTGGAGAAGAAAGAGCCAAATGCGCCTGGATGTCATCCACCATTTCAGTGATCAATGAAAAGCGTGTATTGATTCTTCGACGGAGAATTCAGACCAGATCTTTTGCTTTACACGTCATTCGTAGGGTTGCTTGATCTTCATGTGTTCTCCCCATCAACTGTAAGCGCTTGATTTTAGAGATGAGTTGGCGCATCTGTGGAATCAATGTAAAATATCCTTTTTTAGCGCGAGATCGGCTTGCTGTATTTCTGACTGCTTCTGACTGCTTCTTTTTAAACCTCACTGATTCCTTTTTCGTGTTCAGCAACGAGGGCTATGGCTTGCTGAGACTAACGATAGAAATGCTCCACGGCTGTGTATGCATTGTGCGAGAGAAACAAGACTTCCCAACCGCAGCACCGGATTATTTGACGGAAGGGCTTCCAGTTAATACTACGGCTGGTGTAGTAGGAGGGAGGTACTTGTTTGGTGTCCATTATTACGGCGAAGGGTAAGAGTATCGTGTTGCCGTTGCTACCAGGAATGTTCTCTCAGTACATTGGCCATACACAATGTAAACATCACGTTCAATTTGTTCGTCAAGCTAGTTGGTATAGTAACCCACTGTGTTCAACCAACTCTGACTGAATAAATGAAGGCTGTGTATAGACATTAATGACTGGGAAGACCAGTGCACCTTGGGTTTGTTGAAATCACCTACCAGTATTCCGATGCATAATCGAAAGCTGTGGTGATACGGACAGCATTCATGATTGGTGAATTTGGCGAGTTGCAGATAGATGCAAATAAACCGAGGCTCCTGAGACAGAGAAGCAGCAAGAATCAGGGACATTTGCCAGCGGTGGATCTTCAAACCGTTCAACTGTACATATGTGATGGAGTTGCACGAGGCATCCTCCATCTTTTCTTTTACAGCGATCTTTGCGAAAA